CCCTCTTCTCAGATGACTATAGCTCATGTCAAGCTGACACAAACTAGTCAGCACAGGGCACTTGTAAAACTTGGTAACAGTAAATGTTTTGTGAATATGAACAACCAAAAATCAACACAAAATCCAACACATAGTGGGCCTGAGGTGTTTCTGGAAACACTTGCGTCCACCACTTAATGTCAATGGGCTGAGGTTTGGAACCTACACCATGTGCTCTTTGCCCTGCAGCAGCAAATGAATACTTTCTGAAACAGACTAGAGCTCAACGTCTGACGTGAATTTCAGTGTTTTCACTATGGGAAACTTTTTACTCCAATAGAAATATAATGGCTTAGTCATAGAAGACAAAGACTTCCATTATTTTCTTACCACCGACTCTCAGCATGTAATAATTAAGTTGGTATGTCTTTGGGTAGCATGTGTAATAATAATTCCGTGTGGCTACTGCACTCGAGCTTATAGCAACTAGTGTTACCTGCACGGGCCTGTGCCATCAACATTCCATCATGGTCAAGGAGACCATGTGTTTCCTGTGTGTGTTGCCTCTGTGTGTTTCCTGCAGGCAGTTTTGCTAGAGTGCCAGTGTTCTATATTGCCCTGAACAACCAAAGAAAGAAATTTACTCTGGAGTGTAATTCAGGCTCTGTGGCAGCATAGAGGAACAGTTTCTAGGAACTGAACCTCAAACAACAATGCAGAGCATTTATTGGTTGTTACACAAAGGTTTTTTTTTTTTTTTTTAGGGGTGGGGAGTAAAGCAAGTTCCTCAAAGCAAACCTTTGATTTAATCTATATGTTCTCCAAAGGAAATGGCCACGCCCCCTGCCACGTCAGTGCTTATTGTGTACTCTTTGTGGTACCCAATAATGGAAGATGTTCCAGGTGTGCCAGGACTGTCTGGTGATCAAAGTCATGCAAAGGATGGAAGGCTGCTTCAGAAAAACTGCTCTGTAAGTCACAGAAAATAATCTGTTTCCTGTGATGATTTCTTCAAGGTCTAAGTACTTGTAGAAAGCAACTACTTCATTTAAATTTTTACCCTAGATACAATGAAAAACAATGATTGTGTTTCAATGTTTACCCTAGATACAAAGACTCTACTAGATTTCCACTGCACTTTAGAAGGGGGCATCATATTCCTCAGTGGTATAGCCATTGGTAGGTTGCTCATAAGCAACCCTAGTTAAGTTCAGTAGAGTGCACATGAACGGCTAACATACACACATACACACAGGGGAGGGGGTAGGACTTCCAAAGAAGAAAGGGGAGGGGATTGGGATGAGAGAGGATTATGGGAGGGTGTGATACAAATCCATTAGGAACATATTAAAATTGTCAGATAATTAAAAAAGAATGTTTGACTTTAAGAAATGATTCTCAGCACTGGGAAGTTGGATGCAGGAGGATCAGGAATTCAAGGCCATAGGCTACATGAGACCCCGTGTCAAAAAGAAAAAAAAAAAAAAACCAACAAAACTTTTCTGTTGATGACTTTTGAGCTTTACATAAAAAAATTCATTCAATGAATTTTGGTTTATGATTAGAGCATAATTTCCAAAATGACTCTTGTCAGGCTTCTACTATATTGTAGCCTGTATGTGTTTATCCAAAGTGTGTTCTTAGCATTGAAGATTTAAACATCAAAATATCAGTTAGCTCTGAAAAATGTTGATGTTGGTATGTGTCTTGCAGTATCAGTTATTTAACCAGAATTAATTCTTTTTGTATAAAAATAAGAAATTGTATGCACCTCATTATCTCACAAACTTGATTTCATTTCTAATAAATAGTAAAAGAATACATACTACAGAATTGTTTTAAAATAAAACTCTTTATGACTTAGCATCAGTAAATGTTTGATTTATATACCAATTTTATGCATTCATCTATTAGACTGGAAGGGATCATGTGTACAAAAAGTTTTAAAATCTCTGTTATAAGATATCTGAAATCATTATGTGTCCTTCCAATGGCTCCTGGCCCATAAGCATCCTATTTCCAGTCCTTCTCTCTTCCATACCATTCCCAGGTTCTGGTGACCTCCCTTTCCTCTCCTCCTCCTCTTCTTCCTTCCTCTTCTTTTTTTTTCTCCTTTTCTGCTGGGCATTGGATCCAAAGTCTTGGGATATATATATATGTGTGTGTGTGTGTGTGTATTATATTTTCTACTTTAAGATGAACTGTTTACTTTCTTCACTCGTGAACATGTGATATTTGTCCTTTTCTGTCTGATTTGCTTTCCTTATATAATGCTCCCTAGATCCATTCATGTTTCTTCAAATGATGTCATTTTATTCTTTTATAGCATGTTGCAATAAACATGCTAGGGCAAGTGTCTCATTGAAATAGGAATTTCAGTTCTCTTGTGTATGTACTTAGTATGGAATGTCTGGCTCATATCTTACTTTCCTCCTTCCTGTTTTTTTTTTTTTTTCCCCTCTGTAGTACTGGGGATTGCACCAAGTGCTCTACCATTGAGCTGTATCCGGAGCCTCTTTCTTACTTTTTATCATGAGACAGCATCCTGTAAGTTGCTTAGGGAAGACTTGGTTCGTCCTGTAGCCCAAGCAGGACTTGAACTTTAATCTTGCTGCCCGAGGCTCCTCAGAAGCTTGATTATAGGCTTGTACTCCAGGCTCGCCTCAGATGGGAGCTCACTTCTAGACTTTGAGTAACCTCCTGTTTTCAAAAATAGCAATACTAATTTATACTTTCATTAAGAATGTGAGATGAGCCAGATGTGGTGGCACATGCCTTTGGCAGGGGCAGGTGGATCTCTGAGTTTGAGGCCAGCCTGGTTTACAAAGTGAGTTCCAGGACAACCAGTGCTACACAGAGAAACCCTGTCCTGAAAAACAAAAAAAAAAAAACAAACAAACAAAAAACAAAAACAAAACAAAAAACCCAAAACAAACAAACAAAAAACAGCAAAACAAAACCACGAATAAACAAATACAAAATGAAAAACGAAACAAAAAGAATGTGAGAAGCTTCTATTCCTACACCCTTGTAGCATGCTTTTGTCTAACCACAGCCATTCTGAGTTGAAGTGATATCTCATTACATGTTTTTAAAAAATTATGTGTATATAATTGTTTTGTCTGCATGTATGTCTGCACCGTATATGTGTGTGGTGCCTGCAGAGGCCAGAAAAGAGTGTCAGATCTTCTGGAGCTGAAGTTACAGACTGTTGTGAGCCACCTTGTAGGTGCTAGGATTTGAACCAGAGTCCTCTGGAAAAGCAGCCAGCACTCTTAACCACTGAGCCCTCTCTAGCCCCTCATTATGGTTTTGATTTGCATTTCTTTGATTAGTGTTGTTGAACATTAAAAGAAACTTGATCTCGCGCGCGTGCGCGCACGCACACACACACACACACACTCATTTATCCTCTTGGAAAGTATCTATTTGTCTATTTATTTGTTTAATCACTCATTTATTGTGGTGCTGGGATTTGAATTCAGGACCTTGCACAATTGTAAGCCATTCTGTTCCTGCCTACTGCTCCCTTGACCTTTTATAAAGTTGGAATATTTAGTGTTGATTTGGGGAAGGCTGATGAATCGAAATTCTTATATTCTAGAGATGAACCTCTTGCCAGATGAATAGGAGGCCTCCCATCTGGAGGCTGTGTCCTTTGTTAATTGTTTCCTTTGCTTGACTTTTATTTTACTTTTTCAATGCCAGCTTTAGATTTGATATAATCCCCTATGTCCAGTCGAACTTTTGTTTTCTGTCTTTTTGGAATCTCCCCCCCCCAAAAAAAAAAGAAAAGAAAAAAAAAGTTCCTTACTTAGGTCAAAGTCCTGAACTGTTTTATTTATTTTTTAAATATTTATTTTATGTATATGGGTGTTTTGCCTCGTCTGTGTCCCTTTCCCACATCAATAGTGCCCACAGAGGTCAGAAGTGGGCCTCAGATCCCCTGGAGCCTGAGTTACAGAGTGCTGTGAGCTGCCACGTGGGTGCTGCTAACTGAACCCAGCCCATTGGCAGGGCCAGCCAGTGCTCTTAACTGCTGAGCCATCTTTCCAGCCCCTTGCCCCCAAGCTTTCTCCCAGTAGTTTCAAGGCTTTGACTGATTTTGAGTTGGCCTTTGTGTACAGCAAGAGATAGGGTTCTAGTTTATTCTGCATGCAAGCATATTCAGTTCTCCAGCACCATTCATGGTGTTCTTGCTGACTTTGTTGAAAGTCAGATGCTGGGGATTGAACGCTTGTCTTACAGATGCCTGGTAATGGACCTGAGGTAGGGAAGGCCTTCCCAGAGTCTCAGGTAGCTGAGAGTAAGGAAAGGTTTTGCTTGATTCTAAAAGCAGAATTCGATGTGGTCTTGATCTTCGGGTCCAGGGAAGGAATGTGGAGCTTTTTATTTTTATTTTTTTCCCTTTCTTTCTTTGTTGATTTAATTTGAAGCTCAGTATGGATTTCTCCCCCCCCCCCCCCATCCTTTGGTCTGTAACTTAATTTAGGACACACCAAAATAAACTGATACCTTTCTTTTTTTCTTTTCTTTTCTTTTTTTTTTTTTGAGGGCCACATGTAGTCTCTGGACTATAATTAGCTCTATACTATTTTGTAAGAATCACATTTTCTCTCCAGTTTGCAGATGTCTGAAACTTTGCTAACTCTTTTGCTTTTTTTTTTTTTTTTAACAAAATAAACTTGTCGGTTATTTTTTCTCTGTTTTTTTTTAAAATATGGATTATTTGTTAAGTTAAGAAAGCCCTGGTGACTTACTTTTAATATTCCAAAGTTTTAATAAATCGAGGATGCATTTAACTAGTGAGTAGCTTGTGGGATCCTACACTCGCTGTTACATGTGTGGGAACTTCCGATTACTGACTGATCACATTAGTTCACAGTAACTCAAAGACATCCTGAGGGATGGTTCCAACCTGTTTCCTGGGTACACCCCGGTAACTAAGTTTTTAAAAAAGACTCTTTAAGTTTCCTTCCTTTCCCAGAGCAGCAAAGGGAAACTGGATCCGCTGCCACGTAGGAGTTTCCAAATCATCTCTTGGGACCTAAAGGGATCAGGCGCGCGGCCTGGCAGTCGAGCGATCTTCTCCCGGCTTCTGGAAGCGGAGAGGGCAGAGGAAGTCCTGGGAGCTGGGCGCCCCTCCGGTAGGGCGCGGCTCCTCCCCTCTGCCTTGCTAGGGGCGGACTCGGGCGGCGGGGAGGGGGGGGGCGGGCGCTGCGACCCGGGGCTAGCCGGGAGCCCTTTCCACGTTTGCAACGCAGCGGCGCGCCCAACCTTGCCGCTCACCACTCCTGTCCAGGCCGTGCGATGGCGATCGGGGCCCAGGGCTGGCGGCCCGGGTCTCTGCTCCTACTGCTACTCTGGGTGACCGGACAGGCGGCTCCCGTGGCGGGCCTGGGTGTGAGCTCCGAGCTTCAGATCGAGCGGCGCTTCGTGCCTGAAGAGTGTCCGCGCACGGTGCGCAGCGGAGACTTCGTGCGCTACCACTACGTGGGGACTTTCCTCGACGGCCAGAAGTTCGACTCCAGGTACCCCGTGTCCCCTCACTCCCCGGGGATCTCCAGCAGCCTTCCCCTGCCCCATCCGCCGCCCTCCTTCCTGCCCCTGGAGGTGGGTAGAGTCTCCCTCCCTCGACCGCAGCGGGAGGTGGGACCTTGAGATTGGGGTCGGGACAATCCTTCCCTCCTTGCCCGGTTCAACGGCACATGCTTTCACACAGTCGTGTAAAATGGCCACTCAAGGAGACCTCCAAGAGTGGGTAATGTCCGCCCGCTGCCTTCTTAAAGGTCCCTCCTTACTGGCTCTTGAATTTCATCCCTTGAGGACTAGCAGGAGGCGGAGGCGGCGGCTGATAATCACAGCACTGTTGAAGAACTGGGCAGCTTTCTGTTTTGCATATATAAATATGCATGAGTTCATTTAAATGTTTTGGGCGTTCCAAGAAGAACCTTGCCTTCACCAACGAGGTAACCGTGACCGGCAAGGCCTTTGCAAAAGGCCTATGCAAACGGTGGACTCAGGCCACGGGAATTCAAATGCAGTGCCTGTGTGTAACGTCCTGTGCCTTCCCTTCCGGCTTCACAAAAATTGCAGGAGAGGTGGCCCAGAGCAGCCCTGTGGTCTTGTCAGCATAAACTGTCTTCAAGCCTTCTCTCTCTTCAGCCTCTCTCCTCTCCCAGGCTGTGGTTACTAACCTTGGGCTGTGGCCTCATGGTGAGCCACTCCCCTAGACAGAGAACTGTTGCATCTCTGCTGTGTGTCTGAGTGTGCTTATGAACACATACAAGCAGCCACCCCTGTCTGTTTTGACATTTCAGGTAGTGAGTATGTAAAAGTAATTTAGCTTGTTGGTACTATGTGACTGATGCGGAACAAGTGCTTAGATATGGTCATCTTTATTGTTAAGTATATTTGGGGACACATAGGGAGATTGAATGCAAGGCTTTGTATATTCTAGGCAAGCTCTCTATTATCGGGTTATATCCCTAGACCTAGACATATAGCTGTTTCAGCAGTAGCTATTATACCAACCATTTTTATGGAGGTACCCTCATGCCATGCAATTCTAGAATGCAGAGGGCTGGTGAGATGGCTCAAGGGTTAAGGTCATGCCGAGCATGATGACCACAGTTCAATCCCTGGAACTCACGTAGTGGAAGAAGAGAAATGACTCCCACGAGTTGTCCTCTAACCGCCACATGAATGTCATGCCCCCCAATAAATGAATAATGTGTAAAAGAAAAACCTGAAAAATTAGATTATACAATTTTGTGGGTTTTAATATGGTCATAGAGTGTTGTATAAATACCACAACTATCTAATTCTAGAGTGTTTTCATCGCTCCAGAAAAATGCTGGGCATCTTCCATCCTCCCTCCCATCTGAGCTTTCAGGAAGCTACTATTCTGGACATTCATATAAAATTGAGTTATGCAATATGATTTATGGTGCTCTGTGTCTGGCATTTTTCACCTCTCATAAAATTTTCAAGTTTCATCCATGGTCAACATGTCAGAACTTCACTCCATTTCATAGATACAGACACATACAGACACACTCACACTCACACACACACACACACAAACATACAGACACAAACACATATACACATGCACACACACATACATACACATGCACACATAGACACACATACACAGAGACAAATACACACATACATGCACAGAGACACACAGACATAAACACACACGGATACACTCACACACATACACACACAAACACACACAGACACAAACACATATACACATGCACACACATACATACACACACATACATACATATGCACACATACACACAGACAAATACACACATAGTGCACAGAGACACACAGACACAAACACACACACACACACACACACACACGTGTCTAAGTTTTTGAGGCCCAGAACATCAAAAATAATTACCAGTTGTTTTCCATAATGCACAGAACTGTCATTCCTTCCATCAGTGTTCCTATTTCTTTATGTCCCTTTCAGCATTTTTGGTTGTCTTTAACAATCTCATTTTCTGGGCATGGTGGTGCACTCAGCAGGCAGATCTCTGAGTCTGCCGCCAGCCTAGTCTACGTAGTGTGTTCCTGGACAGCCGGAGCTGCATAGTGAAACCTTGACTGTCTCAAAACACAAAACAAATCAGAAAACTCCAAACCCCCAAATTACATTTATTCATTTAGTGTGTGTGTGTGTGTGTGTGTGTGTGCACTTGTACGTTCACGAGTGTACATGCACATGCATGCTGCAGTGTGGAGGTCAGAGGTCAGCTTACTGGTGTTGAATCTCTTCTTTCACTGTGTGCAGCTGGGAACTGAACTCAGGTTGTTGAGCTTGCTGGCAATCTCTGTCCCTGGCTGAGCCGTATTGCTGACCCATCATAAAGGTTTTGGCCCTCATTTCCCTAAAGATGTACTCTCTGGTTATTTGTATATCTTCTTTGATTTGTTCCTCTCATTATAAAATAGGGAATGATTTTTTTTTTCTTGAACTGAAAATAATGAATAATTCCCGTTAGAAGAGGTTCTACTCTTTAGGGAAGGCTGCCACTGTGAGGCAGTATAAGACCGTGGAAAGCTCACCTTCATGCTACCATGGCATTTATGCACTGTCTACCCTCAAGGGGTCCAGTCTTTGATGTTTCTCTCTGATTCTGTCATTCAGCTTAATCAGGTAATTGCGAACCAGTGAGTTAGCATGGTAAGAGCAGTAGAGCCAAAAGGCCAGACCTAGTTTCGCCCTGCATCTTCACATATTTTAATTATTTTCAGGAGAATTCATCTACCCTCACAAGACAGTAAGGAAGATTCAGCAACAGATGAAAAGAAGTGAGGCTAAGAATGTCCAAATGACTTGCCCTAGACACTTAGAATTGCGTGGTCATGTGGGGCTTTTAATGCAGGCAGTTTATGACCATAATCTCTGCTCTATAGTCAGCCCATAACTATGATGGGAGAGAAGAAAGAGGCCGTGGGCTCACACAGAAGGGTTAACTGTATGTTGTGCGTGTGCAAGAGGTGGGTGGTCAGGGTGGAGTTCCTGGATTGCGGGGGAAGACCTAAGGAAGATTAAAATATACTAGGGAGGCTCGGGGAGGAGGTATGGCTGGTGGCAGGGTATGGAGGTGGGCGCATGGTGTTGTAGACATGAGGTCTGAGTGAGAGTTGAAGGAAGGCAGAAAAAGCAAGGGATGCTAGAGGTGAAGATAAAAAAATGAAAGACTTTTCAACCTTTTAATAGAATTCTTCATATTTGTAGGAAACAATGTAATAGCTAGGAGCTAGCTAGCTTTGATGGGATCTTTTGCTTTCTAGATATGGGCCGTGTTGGTGTTTAAAGACAGTAGAAAGTCCATGACGACTGAGTCCTGGGGCCCAGGGACCAGCTTTCCTTTGACGAGTGGCTTTGATGGAAGACTGAACAGGAGGGAAAGGCACTGAGAAGCTGTTTGTCTCACTGTTAGGTCCTTTTCCTTTGGAATCTGTGAAATGTTAGGATATGGGCACATGCAGGTGTCCTCTGAGGCCAGAGGGCTTGGATGTCCTAGAGCTGGAGTTACAGGCAATTGTGAGCTGCCTGATGGGAGCTGGGAACCAAACCCACGTCTGCTTAAAGAGCAGGATGAAGTTTTCCACTGAGCAGTCTCTCCAGCCCATAACTTTGGTAGTCTGACACAAAACGTGTGTAGAGAGGAGCATCTGGGAGTTTGGACTTTGGCTGCTTTGGGGTTTTGCGAGAAGAAAATAGCAGCTGTCGGCCTGATGAGATGGCTCAGTGGTTAGAGGTGCTTGCTGCCATAGCTGATGACTCACAACCTTACCCTCCCCATGAGTAGCTGTTAAAAAAGAGAAAAGAAAATGATGACATGCATTCTGAGTAGACTCATAAAACATCAAGAGTTTCTTGTGCTACGATTATCTTTCTTCTTTTTCCGTGTCTCTGTTGTCCTTTTCTGCATATGGACATTCAGTCACCAAGATGACCAGACCTTCCGCCCTTGGCCGCTGCTTTGGATGTGGCTGTGTATAACCTCTGTGGCCTTGTTAATGTGCTCCCATGGCCACTGTTGCAGATGCAGGGGGATGGCAGCCTCCACCAGCTGGTGCTGCTGAGCTCCTGGTCAGCCTTCCCAGTTTCATTTTAGGAGTTCCATCACATTCCTAGGCATAGCAGCAAGGGGAGCAACACTTTGGGGGCCTCTGATTGCCTTCTGGGACCAGGGTTGAATATGTTTCCATTTCCATTGTCCTGGCAAACAGTGCCCCTCATTGCTTCCCTCACAGCCTTCAGACCTATCTGCAGACCCGTAAGGTACTTGTTTGATGGTACCAAGAGCCCAATGATTCTTCGGTGGGAAGGTCAACTTTTGCTGCTCTGGCTTTTCAACTAAATGCATCAAAATCACCCCGACAGATCATTACACAGTTTCTGATTTGCTAGCTCTGGGCTTTGTGACAATTCCCTACTGCTCCAGCTGTCTTGAAGATAGGACTTTGGGAACCTTTGCTCTAAAGAAACTGTAGATTTGATGGGCTTCGTTTTGCTACATTTTCCTTCACTCACTCATTCATTTATTCATTAAGCAAATACTTATTGAGAGCCTGCTCTTCCAGGTGCTGGAGATGTAGCAGTGAATAAAACAGAATCCTAACCTTATGAAGCTCGCATTTCTAGGGGAAGGACACATACTCTGAGTTACACAGCAAAATAGAATTTGATGAGAGCTATAGAGACAGACTGGGTAGTGTGAGTTTTGAGGTGGGGGCATGAAGCTCTAGGCTCAGAAAGCTGTGATGACAGTAGCCATCTTGATAGTAACAAACTTCTGGACTCTGTGACAGACCCTCTGTGCCTCACATGAGTCAGAGAGTTCTATGTGAGTGGCAGACATCCATGCCTCTACCAGTTGCAATGAAAAGGGTGCTTCTGTCTCCTAGGGAAGACTGTGGGGGAAGGCCTGATGCTTGAGATAGGCCTTGAGCATGGGTGGGGTTTTATTTCTTCAATGTAGAGACTATCTTT